GTTTTATTAATACATATTGTAATAAAATTAACTAAGTTTGGAATGTTTAACTCAATAATAGTGATATGACCAGCATGATAATTACCGTATGGAGAGGAAAATGTGGAATGAAAGTATTTTGCAAATAAGTTACTTATTTGCCAAATAAGTTACTTATATATAAGTCACTGTCTCGAGCGCACCGCGTCAGTTACACGAGAGCCTCGGGCGAGAGTGGACGTGTTTAGGTAAGTGCGTGCCAAGCCTGTGTTACAATACAGTGATTAGAGAAGATAGCAGACAATACACTAATCAAAGCCATTTAATTCAGCCCTATTTGGTTTGATTTAAAACTGGTAGTTCATTGACCTTTACAGATTTTATAAAAATAGATAAAGCTTTGTGATGAGCATCCTTGACGGTTTCGTGGCGCAGTGGCTTAGCAATGAGCTGCTGCGCTGGGGGGCGCGGGTTCGAATCCCGCACGGAACAAGTATTTGTATGGCCTACAAATGATTGTTCCGTGTCTGGATGTTTGTCCTTGTGAAATTTGTGTTTGAAAACTGCCTCCATGATACAGGAGAAAATCCTAGTGTATGGGGTAAAGTTTTTTTAAAAAAAAAAGAAAAAGAAATCTTCCGGAATAAGCGGGTCGCAAGCTATTACACAGGTGTCAAAATTGCTCAACACAAGATCTAAAATCACATTATTTATATTATATACACAATTGTACTGTCGTAATCCTAAATAATTTAGGGTATTAATAAATAAATCATAAAGATCACTCATATAGCTAGTCGCCGTCATCTCCGAATTATCCGGGCTTGTTTCCCATTTAATAGCGGGTACATTAAAATCGCCAGTAATAAAAAATTATCATTGGGATGAGATAACATAATGTCCATAAGTTTGTCACAAAAATTACGTAGTTGCAAGTCAAATGAGTTACCTCTATTTTATTTACATAAGTAGACAATACATACGTGTATACGACATCGATTAATACTTATGCTCACCCAAATGTCCTCAGCAGAAGATTGCCATTCGGTTACCTCAACAGAAGTAAACTTACGTTTGATCGCTATTAAGACTGCACCGCCCAATTTTTGTCCTCTTCGTTAATAATTACGATCCCGCCTCCAAACAACGTACCTGTCATCAAACAGCTCAGAACTATATATAATTATTTAATAGTATATTTCTACAAAAATTATCAGTTTTCGACCGAAGGCCTCTTACATTCTGATAGTACACGTTAATTACGTTAGCTGCGCCGGAGGTTCGAAAAAAAAACAAATTTACTTATAAAATATATTTAAAATGAAAATTTGAAATTATGCCTATAGCTAATTAATCTAACCGAATGAGCCTCGTGTAACTGAGTACGTGATATTTTATACATCCGGCACGTGGCTTAAATTGCTGCGCCTGCATTCCTGTCGGTTTACATAGCAACTGTTCTAGGTACATAGTCAGCGATCGTCATAACATAGGTATATGTAACTCCTCCACCCTCAGAACGGCAACTATTTCAGTATGTTCAGGGAAAATGTTGCCGGAATTTCGGGGTTTCCATGATCTTCTGAATTAGATGTTGGTGATTGCGCTGCTTTGCTCGTTTCCTTTCTGCATCTTGATATGTAGCGACGGGTGGCCAGTACAAAGATAAGGATACCTCCACTCGATAATATGATATAAAAGGGAATTGTCGTATGGTATAGTGTGTCACTTATGACACGTAGTTTTATTGGTGATTGCATGAGAATTTTGTCTTGGATGCTGTGTAATCTTTGGAGATAGATTGAGTTTAGGTGGATGCGGGTAGATGCTGTAGCTTGTTCTGGAGATCTGAAAGGTAGTCCAATGAGCTTTAGAGGTTGACCTTTTATCTCATTATTGTCGTTGACGATGGTGAACTCGTCAGTTTTAAGAAGACAGCTGGCTGGAATCGTAATGAGATAACTCCCTTGTAGCATGATGAATTCTTTTCTTCCGCAAGACAATTGTACCTTGGTATAGTGTGGAAAGGACAGGATATAATCCTGGTCATCTAGTTTTTCCTTCGCTTCTTTTGACAGGATGATAGTAGTAAGATTGCAGGCTTCTTGTATGACTTGCTTGGTGATCAATTCTTGGATGCAATTGGGTTGTTTTCGAATCTGATAGGTAGTGCGTTCTTCACAGAGATACCGGTGGTTAAACTTCAGACATTCTGTCTCTATGTACGCGAATGATAACTCGTTAGTTGCCATGAAGGGATAGGTTGGGATAAGGGCCTGTGAGTTTTTATTTAGGACAATGGATAATCTATATAAATCAAAATTATCTCTAGAAGTTATAGGAAATTTAAAGATGAACTCGATTTGTTTCTCCGTGTAATATGAGCCGGGTTTTATTACGTCATAATAGTCTCTGAGTTCTAAATTTAATATTTGATCTGAGCTGTAAATACTTCTAAGCTTACTTAACATGGGACCTAACACATCTATATCTATCATAGAATTATGCGTGCTAGATGCACGAATAAAAGCTAAAGTGTTTTCTATTCTAATTAATTCTACCATTAAGTCCTCTACATTATCACTAATTATTTCTAACAATTGCGCAAATTTAGCGTATTTAATTAAACTAGTTTGCCTATATGCATTACTATTTAATATAAGTATTAAAGTCTCATCAATTTTTCTTTAATTTTTGCTATCTCAATAATTGCATTACTATGCTTAGACATCCATTCTTTACTTAAGCTGAGATGTTGATCGAATTCGGATGCAACGCTCAGTTGATTATCCTTAAGGGTTTTAATTGCCTCGTTATATCTTAACACGTCTGTATAATCTGAGTTACCCGTTATGCTTTTTATGACTGAACCAAGACCAAGCTCTATTGGGCTTTAGGGTTCTGAGATGACTTAACACCTTGCCAAGTTTGTTAGACAGATAATCTATTTGGATTTCGTATAGTAAATAAGTATCGTTAGTCAGTCGGTTTTGGAAAGTCAGTAGTTGATTCTGTAGGGTGTGGATATTATCTTCAATGTCATCGAGTCGTACGTACTGTAAAAATGTATGGTAATGAGTAGTCAATTTCGTGGGTCCTAGTTTATACGGTAGTAGTCCTGGTCCGTCTGATAGATTTTCAAGTTTTATCTCTGTCGTCTGAGTCCTTTGAAAGAGCATTATTAGCAGTACCCTGCAACAAATTAACTGCTTTAGGAACACACTTGAGCCGTGATTTTGCTACTGGACCACGTTTTTCAGATGTATATATATGAATGGGTAAATCGGCTAATACAGTGAGTAAGTATAACGTGGTGCGGTTTTCTGGCGGGTGGCAAATGGATTTTTAATAAAACTTGCTGCTGCGGCGCGTATTCTATTTCCGGTTCGCGGTCCTTATTCCTACTCTCTTTAATAGCTGTGCGATTGGCTGGTGACGTGCTATTAATAATTTCGTACACCTTTTTCATTTGATCTCTATGCATACTCTATACATACTGCTGTAGTAGTTCTGGGTTATGTCGATGTCAAGACAGTCTCTATGGTCAAAGTGTCCCGTTAATAAGTCAAATGGTCGACATCTAGTAAAACTGTGTATTGAGCTATTGTAGGCTATTATTGCGTAAGGCATGAGATTGATGACCGGTTCGTCCTTATGTTGTAATTTTAAAATTTTGTGATGTTCCAAAAGGGTCGAATGGAACCTTTCAATATTACCGTTATCTTTAGGTGAATGGACTTAAATATGATGGTGATTTATCTTATGGAGTCTAGTAAATTCTAAAAATAATTGGTTAGTGAACTCTGTTCCGTTATCAGTAATTATTGTTAGGGGAACACCGTGATGGGTACAATATTGTAGTAGGGCCTGTAATATACTAATAGCGGTTCCGTTGCGTAAATGGTAAGCTTGTCCGTATTTTGTAAATACGTCTATAAAAGTTACATATTTTTCACTTTGAACTGTAAAGAGGTCCATGTGAATTATCTCAAAGGGTTTTGCTGCAGGTGGTACTACATTAAATTGAGGTTTCACTGGGTTTTTATTATATTTGGCCTGTCCGCAGATGGTACACTCGTTAATAAATTTTGTGATATGGTCTTTCATTTTTGGCCAATAGTATTTGCGAGATAATGCTAAGTAACACTCGTTAATACCACGGTGGTTGGTTTTACCGTCGTGATAGTGACGAATAATTTCTTGCTGTCGCAAATATTCCTTAACATTCTCTAACTCGAATTTAGTTAGAACAAGGTTAAGTGAAGAGCTTTTAAATTTATCCTGTAAGATTGGTGTTACTTTATATAATGCTAAAGGTGGGTTTATTAAGAGAGCTGTTTTGATTTTCGGATTGACATACTCTTTTACAGCTTTTATGACGTCTTCTTCGAGACTATTTTCCGATAGTTGAATGCTAACACGTGTATGGGTATCGAAAAGTTTAGTCACAATGATTTTTCCTTTAACGTTGCTAACAACAGTCAAGTGAATTTGTCTATTAAAGTTATTGAGTGGTTCGTCAGTTATAGGAATTTCAAATATAGGGTGTTCGTTACTGGTGTGTACGGTCTCAGTCGAAGAGTTCGCAATACCTTCGCTTGGGTTGCCTATTAACGAGTTTAGTTCGTCAATTTCGTTCATTAACATCTTTATGTCTTCATTGTGAATCTCTATACGTGAGAGAGCATCGGCATTGGGGTTAATTTTGCCTTTCTTATAAATTACTGTAAAGTCATAGTCGCCAAGTCTAAGTCGCCATCTTGTGAGATGTGTATTTGGTTCTTTCAAATTCATCATCCACTGCAATGGTTTGTGGTCTGTCAAAATTTTAAATTTACGTCCAAACAAATATGGTCTAAAGTATTTCGTAGCTCAGACTATGGCGAGAAGTTCTTTTTCGATTGTACTGTAATTAACTTCGCTTTCGTTTAACGTACGAGAAGCGTAACAGACTGGTTTGTCGGATCCTATTGGATCTTGTGACAGTACGGTACCAATGGCAAAGTTAGAAGCATCTGTCGTTAGGTTAAACTCTTTAGTTTTTCGAAAGCCTTAACGTAATTATTGTCTATTGTTACCTTTTTGCCTTTCTTAAGACACTGAGTTAATGGCTTAGTAATACGAGCGAAATCCGGAATGAACTTTCTGTAATAACCGAGAAGGCCTAAAAATTGTTTAATTTCTTTTGGATTCTTTGGAATAGGGTATTTTTGAACAGCCGAAATTTTATCGGGGTTTGGTTTAATACCGTCCCTGGTGATAATATGACCGAGGTAAGCCGTTTCATGTTTGAGAAACTCCGATTTCTCCATTTGAAATTTAAAGTTGGACTCGCGAAATCTACTAAATACTTTGTCTAGGTTAACCATATGTTCTTGGAGCGAAGTGCTGAACACAATTATGTCATCTAGGTATACAAGGCATATATGATTTTGTAGCCCCCTTAAGATATTGTCCATAACTCTTTGGAAAGTAGATGGACTGTTTTTCAGGCCCATTGGCATGCGAAGAAATTCGAAATGGCCATGCTCTCCATTAAAAGCGGTTTTCGCTATGTCCTGAGGGTCCATTTCGACCTGATAAAATCCGCTTGCTAAGTCTAAGGTGGTAAAATATTGGCACTTCCCTAATTTGTCAAGAACATCACTAATGTTCGGGATAGGATATTTATCGTCAAGTGTCTTTTCGTTTAATTTGCGAAAGTCAACTACAAGACGCCACTTATATTTGCCAGAAGCATCTACTTTCTTTGGCACAACCCAGATGCGTTACCTCCATGCAGATTCGGAAGGTCTTACAATACCCTGATCTAACACTTTGCTTATTTGGTCCTTAACTTCTTGTCTATGTTTGAACGGATAACGATAGCTTTTAGTGTGTATTGGTACTTCGTCCGTGATTCGAATCAGATGTTTTATTCTATTTGTGAAAGTGAGGCTTTCACCTTCTATGTAAAAAACGTCCGAGTAACGACAGCAAAGTGCTACTAAATTAGCCTTTTCCTCCTCGTTTAGGTGGTCGGTACGTAATCGCGAAACTACGTCTTTTGCGCGTGCTGATAATTGTTCGGTACGCGTGCACTCAATATTAAATAATACCGCGTGGGCTGGTCGGTCGAGTGAAAATAATTTATCGTTTGGCGTTGGGTTCTCTACCTCAATATAACCGCGATTATTGACGACAGTGGTAATACATTCGTGAATAATACAATTACATAGAACCTGCTCCGTAATATAGGCTTCGCCATCCTTTGTATCCAATGGAGCTCTAATAATTTTCGAAGAGCTGGCAGGTATTATATCTTCGTATAAATTAACATTACGCGAGTTATATAATTTTATGGGATTACATGTTGAATGCGTTATTAATTGTCCCTCCTTTAAATCTATACGGGCCTCCCATTTACTTAATAATTCCAAACCTATAAGGCCGTCAAAATAGTCATGAAAGCGATATACAAAGAATTTCACTTTATCGGAATCATTAAATTTAGAAAAACAAGGTAACGTTATAGAATAATTATTACGACTTGTCGTTTGTTACTTCGAACGGGTCAAAATTAAGTGGGAAATCGCTGAAAATTTTTCCTACAGCTTCAGGGCTAATAAAAGACTAATTCGCGCCAGTATCTATTAAAAATTTTAATGGGGGATTTGCTATCTGTATATATGGTAATTGTCTTTGAGTCTGAAGATTTAATTCTATTTTGGTTTTTTTTATAGTCAAATCGTCCTGAAAATCCTGATTGGAGTGTTTAGACTCTACTTGTGATTGATTTTGAATATAATAATTATTATCTTGGTTTTCGTCAGTCGAGTCATAATAAGAAAATCAGAAGCGAAATCCGGGGCATAAGCATTGTTAAAGTAGGTATAGTCGGTGTAGTATGCGTACTCGTATTCAGGGTTATACTCGTAATATGAATCATTATACGCAGCGCATTCGTTTGTATTCATTTCGCGGGATTTAAAATAGTTTGTTGGTGGCGAATTGTCAAATTTATTCCAGTCATGTCCTGTCAACATTTTTGTGTGTGGTAAAGCCTTGGGAATAAAACGCTGGACTCCACTCATGGGCTGAGGTTGTTGATGGTTATTTCGAAGTGGTAATCGGAACACGTTACTACGCTGGTTGTAGTTAGGAGGGGGTGCACCGAACATGCGCTGGGTATTAGTTGGCATGCGCTGTTGGTGTGGTACGGGTTGAGGAAATTTGAACGGCTGAGGTGGGGGTCTGTAAGGTCTTTGCCCAACAGGAACTGGCCAATTAGGTACTGGAGTTGGGAAAGGTTGATGTTGAGGAATGGAAGGTGGTGTGGATGGTGGAATGAACTTGAGAGAATGTTGACTTTTTATGGAGTCATTGCGCTGTTGGAGATACATAATGTTTAATTCCTCTTGTACATATTCTAAGGCTCCCTCTATTGTCGATGGTCGCATGCAACGTATACGAGATCCTAAAGGTTCCTTTAAGCCGCGGACATATGCTTGCATTGCGACTTTCCTATAAAGGTCCTGTTTGGCATCGATGGTGGTCGGTATGGTCTCATGTAAAGACACGTAAGTCATTATCGTGCTAAACAAAGTTTGGCAATGGTCGTAAAATTCTTGTGGAGAGAATATGACGGCGAGCCTGTCGAGATTCAGGCTCCCGAGAACGAGTTACTCTAGGATGATAAATCTTGAAGGGAAAGATTTAAACTTAGGGATAAGGGAGAGCAACACGAGATCAATTCAAGTGTACTCACGTGGATTTCATCTGGTTTCTCTCGATGAATCGAAGGCTGGATTCTCCTCCTGGTCTGCAGCTGGTCCGTAGATCCGGATACTCTTCGAAGGGACTTGATAGCCGCCGGGGTGCTTCACGGTTATGAAAAGATATTCCCTAACTATCGCAAAACCACCCCTGAGTGTCCTACCGACTGCGCCAATTACGTTCAGCTGCGGCCGGAGGTTCGAAAAAAAGCCAAATTTACTTATAAAATATATTTAAAATGAAAATTACAAATTATATTACTATAGCTAATTAATCTAACCGAATGAGCCTCGTGTAACTGAGTACGTGATACTTTATACATCCGGCACGTGGCTTGAATTGATGCGCCTGCATTCCTGTCGGATTACATAGCAACTGTTCTAGGTACATAGTCAGCGATCGTCATATCATAGGTATATGTAACTCGTTTTTAATATATTATTGACAATAATAAAAACAATATTTTCCTGAACATTTAACTATAGTAAAATATGTAAAATGTCGAGGCGGTACGTTGAAACATAAATAAGTCATAAGTATACTTGTAATTAAGTATGTAAGTATTTGACAACAGTATAGTATATCTTTAATTAATTTATGTAAGGTATACAAAGAGTGTGTCAGCAGTGTATATAGATATGTACAATTAAAAAAATATAAAAATAATATTAATATAAACCAGTTTATAGGGCGCAGTTTACCCCTTCGAAACAGTAGTGTGACTATTCCGACATAATATAGATTTATAAATAAGCGATTAATTAGTATTAACCGTAAAATTACATTTAAGTTATTTGTGTGAATATGTGTAAAATAGGGTATAGCAAAATTTTCAATAGAAAAAATATTCTCTGTTTGTACATAACAAACAAGAAGTAAACTATGTAACGATACATCAACTTTATAGTATTGCTTGTTCGGGTAAAAATTGTTAAGCATAGGGCTAATTTACCTGCTTTGAGTTTGAGCTCATACGGACAATAGAAAAATTTAATCATATGGACCCAACCAGTGGTTTCAAAACATTTTATAGTTTTAATAGATTTTGTTGCAACTTTTTCAAATAAATGACATGAACTTATATCATTTTTTGAAGGTCCCTTTCTGTCTTTATTGATAGGATGGGAGATGTGGTATTTTTCAGTACAAGGATTTTAGAGTTCTTGACCCATACGAACTGGAATTTTTTTTCTTGAGCAACAGTCTTAGTCTTATTAAGGAAAAAAACATTTTGTTGTAGGCAATTAGTAGCAATGGTGGTGAGCGGAGACATGGACGAATGTTTTCTGGCAGCAGTGACGAAGTCCTCCTTTACAAAACGATTGTTGAAACATACAATTATAGGCTTAGTGCTGTTTGGATCTCGATTAGGCACCCTAGTGACGTAGTTAATTTGGCTTTTAGAGATAGTGAAATCAACTTTACAGCTAATGGAAATAACAATATCCAAAAGGTTTTCGCCTTTCTTCATGGGCACTCCTTTTATTTCCGCATTATTTAATCGAGCCCATTCGTCTTTAAACTGTATTTGAGTCTCAAGTTTCTCAACCTTCTGGCATAGACAAACAACTTTCTCCTTATCACTTTCGACTTCTTTAACACGTGATTCAAGGTGCACAATTTTTTTCGAGAGTTCTTGGATGACGTTGTTCGTTTGGACGTTAGATTTTTGGAGCTGAGTGAGATTATCCTTCAGGTACTTAATGTCCTCAACAATAGAATCAAGAGAATTTAGTTTATTTGCAATATCTTTTATTTCCTTCATCAATTGTATTGGAGTTATCTCTTGGTGTTCAAGGTCGGTTGGGCCGAAGGTTTAGTAGTAGATGGCTGCGAGTGAGATTTACCTTGTTCTTATTTACACTTTGAACACCGCCAGGTCATTTTTCGATCACCTAATTTACGGTATCCCGGTTCACTGATACCTGCGCAATGGAAGTGAAGACAACTCTTACAAAGACTGCACTCCGCTCCATCTGCAACTTGTTCCTTGCATTTACTGCAGGTCGGCATATTAAGCAATTCACGTAGTTTGAGAATCACTAACAACAAAACGTAATTTCAATCAGTATGCACGTTCACTACTATTGTATACGTTACAGAAAGTTCAACTTTGCGAGCGTCGAGTATACGGTAGTTTTATATTTAGAAAAATTTAGGAGATGATTTTAAATTGGAATAAGGTAGTGCGCACAACTGTTTCGCTCGTTGACATACAATGAACTTATACTGCACAAACAAGCAGGGGTTTCTAGATATACCCTCCATTCCACCTCGATACAACCGGGTATTTTATAGACACTCCGACACGGCTGTCCTGACTTACAACCGTCCTCGGGCATGTATCTTTATGCATTCCTGTAACAAACACCAATTCGTCCGCTCGTCCATCCTGACATGAGTGGGTACATATTATTAGTTCGCAAAAATAATTATTAGATGGCGCTGCTTGTTCCACTATGGCGTCATCAATCCATGACACGTCATCCCTGACTAGCATCCGTACTCGGTTGCAGTGCCTGTAGACAAAATATGCTCAGAGATTAATCTAGCTCGGCAATTCTGCCAATAGAAACAAGTTCGATTCCAAATTTAAGTACAATAGTCTTCTCCTCAGTCTAAGTACAATAGTCAACTGCCATAGTTGACAATGCCTTGTTATTAAGGCTTAATACACAGTGCTTCCTGCATAACATGATCTATTGTGAAAGGTCGATTCCAAATGGTACTTTACTTCTCCTAAGTCTAAGTGCAATAATCAACTGTCATAATTGACAATTCCCTGTTATTAAGGCTTCGTACACAGTGCTTCCTG